TAGTGGACAATTACAACTATACCCAGTCTGATGGGTATTTTTCTTCTTATGTCTATATGAAAAAACCGAGAAACCCTCAAGGTGCATGTAAACTATTTCTCCAAACAATTTATTTTTGACATAAAGTCAGGAAAAAAAAAATCCCCTGCTCCTTTATATAGAGGAGCACACACATACACACACAAACTCCTTCACACATGGAGAACAATGTCTCCATGACCACCTCAGAAGACTTTGCACCAAGTTTTAAAGAATAAAGTCTCTAGAAGAATATAACTCTAGAGGAAAAGATCATCTGTTAGAGTGTCCAGCTCTCAGTGATTCCTTGACAAATTGTGCAAACCATTTCCTTCATTGCTCTGTCACAGTTCATGTGTTAGTGTGAGGACTTGGATTAAAAACTGTTCCTATGGCCACACTGAAATTGCTGATTTCCCTCATTTTGCTTGGAAAAGTTGCAACCACAAAACCATAAAACAGAAAAAAACATCACATGGCACAGGTAACCAACCACACATCACACTTAGAAAATACTTAGGGTTTCTGACAAGCTTTTTCATTATGTATTCATTTGAAGGGGAAATACATTCGAATAAAGTGCTTGAACAATTTCAAATAGCAAACAAAATGCACTTGAATTCATCTGCATGTTGTTAATTTGCAAACAGAAAGATGAGCAACAATCAATGAATACATTATTTGCAATGCATGTTCGTTCAGCTCCTGTACACTGTTAGAAATGCTAGGCTTGCGATAGCCATGCAATCAAGAGTCACACTAAGAATCAAAATCTCCACCAATACTTAATTTATATATGAAAGTAAACCTAATCAATACTATTTGCTATCCAAAAGAAATTAATCTAAAAAAAAAATCAGAAATGCACAAGAGCTAACACTTGTCTGTTCTTACAGCAACTTTGTCTCCAGCTCACACCATAGGCGAGCGCAGGGAAAGGAAAACACGAAAGAAATGAAAGTGATTTTGGGTCAGAGTTGGTTTTGCACATGTGGTGATGAGCAAACAGCAGTGATGTGCCACCTTGACAACTCTCTGCCTTTGCACAAGTGGCCCAGTCAAGCTCCCCAAGTTTATAGCTCTTTGTAAGACGTCTTGTTTGGTTAAATAGCTTGACCAGGGCATTAGGTATTCTGATGCTGCAGGCTCTCAAGATGAAATCTCCAAAGAGAACTGCGGAATAATTAGCAGCCATGAATGCCTGTAAGGTCTCCTGTCTGTCCAAAGCATCAGTACAAGAGTCAGAGAATCCAAAGCCCTGGAAACAATTCTCCCACTGCACTTTCGTACCTCTGTCCCAAGGCAAAATTATTCAGCTGTCTCAGTCACCACTAGGTTATTTAGAAGGGAAAATAATGTTATCGTATGGTAGGCATAGCCCTCTCGTATAGGTGGCTTTTTCACGTGCAGCCTCCTAACTATAGAGGTGCAAAAGCTCTCATTTGTGCTCATCAGAGTCAGACAGTGAGAAGTTGCAGCTGCATTTTGCAAGTGCTGGCTTGAACGCTTTACTCAGTGAGGAAGGAAAAGCATTAGGAGAGTCCACTGCTAACCTGAAAGAGAATATTTCATTACCTAAGCTTGGCTGGCTCCTTCGCAGTTGTTACTGCATGAGGAGCCTGATTCTACCTGCTAAGCATCCCCTGAAGCTCAGTATGAAGAAGTGCCCTTATATTTCTATTGTACCCATGTGCTTCGAGGATGCATATCCTCACATCTCTCTCAAATTTATTTTTCTCACTGGCTGTTGTAATATATATGTTTGCTGTGCAGGCAGCGTTCCTTACTGTATTATCAGAAGCTTACAGATTCCACAAAGAGCTCCCAATTTCTTTTATTAGCCATTTTACATTTTTCTTGCACAAATGCAGAAAGAGAGCTCGCGAAAAAAAGAATGCCTGAGGACTCACATGAGGACTTTATACTCTGGGAAGAGGACCTGGAAGCAGAGGGCTGGCTAGTAGCGTATGCACACTCTAATACACACATTTAAATATTAAGGCTGAAGCCACGCTGCCTGAAACTGAACAAGTCAATTTTGCTGCTGGGTTTTTTTTTCCCCTCCAATTAAAAAACAAATTATATATCAGGTTGAAAAGCAAATTGTCAGTCACAAGGATACCGAAAAAACAGCGGTAAACGTAAACATCTACTGAAAACAAGTACATTTGGAGGGGGTTTTTAAGTAATTTTTTTTAAGAACTTGCTTGTTCTCTCCATAAACAAAGTCTCCTTTGTGTGCATACGTGCACAAGTCTCCCATCCATCAAGTCCAGTCATGATAAAAATATAGATTTTTTTTTATTAAAAATCTGACTTCTGCATGAACTGATGTAGACAGCTGTATGCCTGCCACTGAGGGCAGTATTAAAAATAAAGAGGAGAGCTTGCAGACAGCAAATAAAATCATACTAAATGTACAAGCATACATACACTAGTATATCAAAGCCAATCTTTTCCCTCAGTGTCACAGCACTATGTCCTTCTCTCTTGTACATTTCCGATTAAGTTCTTCAGAGCAGGCAGTGTCTTCAGCCGATACCTTTGTGTTATTGAACACCTTCTCAGAGCTTAATAAGTAGTCAAGGATGCTGCAGGGAGAGATTTGCGGCTCACAGTGAGAAAGGCATCTCAGAAAGGAGTTTTGTAGAGAGATATGAAAAGGCTGTTCAGACACAGGAACAGCTGCAGCAGGGTGGGATGTGTGAAGGGGGTGCAGATCTAGTTTAGGTTTGTGGGATGCAAAACCGAAAGAAAATATCAAAGGTTTCTTCATACACTGAGAAATGCTGAAATGGGATATCAATGGCCTAGGAAGAAAAGAGAGATGAAGGTTTTTACCAGAGTACTTCTAATATTGTGCAACTGTAAATGGTGTGCCACTTAAACAAAATTCACACTTTCTAGCTGGTTTTTTCATGGCACTAGAGCACGGATCTCAGCAGCGGAAATTGAAGGCTTTCTGTGAGCTTGCTATTTGTGTGAGAAAGACAGATGCAATCCTCTTTTCCTGGTAAAGAGATCATTTTCCCCGGCTGGTTCCACCTCTTTAGTGGGGAATCCCCCCCTTCTCACCCATCTGTAGAGGACATCACACAAACGCTTCTCAACGGGGCAGCAACAGCGACACCACTGCAATAGAGCTGTACCGTTAGACAAGCTCTTCTCCCAGCAACACAAAGCTGGTGTAGTTTCTGACTGGATCGGTATTGATCCTGAAGGCATAAGTCAGCCTCTACCTGCGCCAGTCTTCCTAACAGAAAACTGGTGAGAAACCTTCATGAAGCAAAACGCATTTTGTTCTAGAATCATCTTTTAGACAAGGAAGAAAGACCAGAACGGAGCAGAAAAAATACATTCGGAGAAGAAAATTGGAACCATCTGCAAAAATGTAAAGCTTTCTTTTTTCTTTTCATTTTTACCGTATTCAAACGTGCAGTCTGTCACTCAATTTGGCAAGTCTACCTGAAAAAAAAAAGGATATTTCTTTTTACCTCTCATGCCTTAATTAGACCTAAAAGCCTCACTATCCACAAAAAAAAGACGACAAAATCTCTGTCAGCTAAAATATATGGAGAAGTCTTTCTGGGATGTAATGTGCCATGTTACTTTATTACGATATCATAAAAAACTAGCAATTGTAACTATGCTCAGGAACTGGCACTGTGAAAGCCGAACCCTTATCACAATCTCTTAGCTACATTTGCCTCTGCACCTGGAGTAACCAGATGTGGTTGGCTCTGCACCTGGCTCCAACAATCGGGGGGAAAATAAAACAATTGCAGTAAGAAATTCTGAAATGGCTTGTGTAGCACTTAAGGAGGCAAGAATCTCTGCAATTCAGTCCTGTTATCATCTGACAACGTCTCAAATCCTCCTAGTCTGCAGCTCCCAGAACATAAGCTATAAGGAAATGGTTGCTTTAGAAGTACCTAGGATGGATACATGGATGGCTAAACAAAACATTTAAATAGGGAATTCTTCTGCTATGTTCTGTTTCAGTACTTTTTTCTGGTTTGTTAGCGGCCCAGAAAGTGGGATAGGGTTGGTGCTGTGAGAACAGTAACTTAGGGATGTTAACGTTACAGGATTCATTGGAACACAACCATGATAAATTTCACAAGTTTTTATAGTCAGTATGATGTGCTTCCCTCAGCTGGAAGTAAATCTGCCTAGCCCCTTAGTGTTTTTTGAAGAGGGCAGGCCTTTTCCTTAGCTGATTCAAGAATTGGCCTTGGTGCTTATAGATTCTCTACAAGGAACGAAGCCCAAAGAATATCCCACTTTAAGTACGACACAGTATTCTGCAGTGGCATGCCTGAATTTTGGATTTGCTGGGTCCTTTCAGCAAGAGTTGCAATGGGAACCTCTGGGGAACAGGATGCTTATGATGGTGTTTGAGAGGGAGTTTGAGGGTGGGTGTGAAATCAGCATTTTACATGCCAATTGGGGCACTGTTTCATATTTGAAGGTTGAATATTCTTTTTGCTTTATCCAGTCGGGGTTGTGAAGCATATCGTAAAGATATGGTGTCCTGAGAATACGTAGTTGTTTTATTCTGAACTGGACAGTAAACACCTATTTTGCTTTTAACACAGCCTGCTGAGAAACAGCAGAACATCTCTGTATTCTTTTAGAAAAGAGAAAACAGATCCACACGGGACGTAGCAAATCCAGCGTTGTGTAAAGGTCCCAGGATAACACGTTCTCTAGCCCTTCTTTCTTCAGACTGGGGCACAAGCCCAGGGGTAAGTTGCTGTTACTTGTTAGTGAAGTTTGTTTTGAACTCTTAAGTATTTTTCTCTCAGTTCTTTCTGTTCAGTGCTTGATTGCAGGTGTTGCATGTGCTCATTTTAGTTCTCCGTGCACTTAGCTGCAGGCATAAGAGTCTTGATCTATAGATGCATTTCTGTCCCTTCTGAGCTTTAAAAAGAACTCTAGCTACTGGTCTGGCTTTTACCCTTTTTTTCTGCAAGGAGAGCAACAAGGGAGATGACACAAGGGGGGAGAGAGAAAGAGAGAGAAGGGGAAAAACCCAGAAAAAAGCTTACAAATCCTGCTCATACTATGAGGGTGATATCAAACCAAAAGGCTAGAAAGGGGCAAGAGAATTTGTCATCCTCCTGCAGCTCTAGCAGTGCTCTACCCTGATTCGGTGCAGTAACCCTTCAGTCCACACTCCCCATGGCCCTATATGTATAGAAGTACCTGCGAGTAAGCATTGGTTGTCTTGTGAGCTACATACATTCTCTCTCACTTGCACTGAGAGAGCATCTCAGCATCTGAAAGGAGTAAAATCCTTCTCTTTGGCACAAAACTTCTTGTGTTTCTGCCCACTGGACATTATTCAGAGTGTTTTCCTTCCATCCATCCATCCAATACTGCTTTCCTTCTTTTCACCACTATTTTCATCACTATGATGGTCAGCACTATACAGCCTTGAAGCAAGGCTGTTCTGAATGGTGACCGCTAAACAGCAATATAACTGGAATCCCTGGAAGAATATGTGAACACAGGAGTCTCGTTACTGGATGGGACTCAGGTTACAGCTATTCTGGTGACTGGAATCAATGCTCCATGGAGAGGACAGTAAAATCTGTGTAGACTAGACATTCCCATAATATCTTAGGAAGACTAGCTTTTGACCCAAAGCACAAAGTTAAATAAAGAGAGAGCCTAAAGTCTCACTCCAAAAAAGACCAAGTAAGAGACTTCTATCCCAGAGGCCTGGAGATGAAATATTAAAAACTCTGATGCATTTGAACTGTTTTATCTTGTCCAGGGTCCTTCCTTTTAATATGGTTTAATAGCATGGGTCAGGCATTTTCCCCCCAAAATTGTGTTAGAAGCACATCAAGTGCCTTGAGATCTGTAACTGAGACTCATGTTCCAGATTTATGTCACCTACAGAAGAGCTAATGACAGTAATCTTGAGGTCACTCTTATTTTCTCTTTTTGCCTTTAAAAATAATCGTATCTTTCTACCAGAGTCATCACAGCTTCATGTTATGGAAAAATAACACTAAACCACAACACCTCCCAGAAAGCGAACAAAACAAGCATATCAGAATCGCCACTTACTTATTAAATCTTCTCTCCTGCTACCCTGATTTTAATTGCTTCCACACTGACAGTTACTGATTCTTGCTACTGATTTTTAACTTCTACATCATATTTTTCATTATTGCATCAAGTACCTTTACTGCTAAACGCAGAATATTGCTGCTGTATTACAGACCATTGTCTTCTATTTGCTTTGCTTTTCATTTCTTTTGTAAAAATATTCATTCTATTTGGGTTTTAATGGCAGATTTTTTAAAAATCTGTCGTATAACAGGGTCATATTAAGGACAGGTAGAGGAGGAGCTGCCTTGTGCTTTTTATCCTCTGGTAGAAGGCACTGCTGATACCCACAAGACATTCTGCACCCTTCTCTGACCTGGATACAGGAAACACGGTGCTTTGCCTCCAGATTTTGCTTTCTCCAGTCTGTCATTTTCTCCAGACTGTTACTATCTGAGATATGAAATGCTGTGCACTGATAGATATTGGCAGGTCCTGATTAAAATTCATTTCACATCGCTTGCTATTTCTTCAAAGGAACAAAGGCCTTTTTTTTGAATCCTAAGAACTGAAAACCTAAGTTTTCTTTGAGGTGCTGAGCATGAAAAACTATGCCTTTGTTTGATAAGCAACATCTGATGATTCCTCTCTTTTCAACTTAACAACTGGCCACTGTTGAGAATCTGCAAAAACTGATTTTTGGTTTTGTCACCTCCAGGTGCTGCTGACAGCTAACAAACTGCTATTTGACAAGCAATGCTTATCCTTACCAACTTCCTAAGGCAAAAGAAAAAGAAAGGTACCACAGCTTGAGAGACAGAATTTGTTTTCAGGCTTGCTCAGTGCCATTTGTCTCAAGGGAAGCTGCTTCATTTTAATGCAGTTTTCTTCTGTTCAAGGCCATTTATTATCTGATAGCTAAACCTTGTTCCCCCTTCTCCCTGCTCACCAGCTCCATGTAGAGTTCCAGTCACTCCATTTTCCTCTCCTTGATTCAGAACAAGTCTAAGCCAGTTTTGTGTTACAGGCACCTGGCAATTAAATGAAATGGAAAATTAGTAAAGAGTTTGCTGGCTGAAACTGGACTCAGCCAAATAAATCGAAACAGAACATTTTGCTTGCGTTTACTCCATGATTTCACAGAGTTTTGAATGATTTTCCAGCAGCAAAACGAGTACCAAATATTTTTAAAAAATGAATGCTTGTATGTAGGCATCTAAATCTATATTTGAGCTTCTACATAAAAGGATGATTATTTTCCAGTGGCAGGAAATAAGTGCGGTTCCAGGCAGTTTTAACAGGAAGCAGAATTGCATCTACACAAACGTAAATCACACCACCACATATGCCAATGCTTAGATGTGGAGTCAGGTACATATCTGAGTGGTGCATTTGACTGTTTTTCAGTCTGCGAAAGTTACCTAAGATCTTTTCTCCGTCTACCCAAGCCAGAGAAGAGAAAAAGTAGATCACCTGAAATGGATCTTTTCTCTAGTTGCAATTAGTGGCTTTGTCCCCCAGGGGCCTATGCAAAATGTAGATCCCCAGGTCTTGTCTCCTCTTCTGACCAGCTCTCTCCTGAATTCTCCGCACTCTATTACTGATTACCAACAACTAGGATACAATGCTACGGACAGTCAAGATAAGAGAACCCTTTTTAAAAGGGATAGTGTGTTCAGGAGAGATTTTAGTTCCATGTTTTCAAGATTTGCCAAGGAAATGTAACGTATTACCAAATATTTACTTTGTCCTTTAGTTGATTTAATGAACGTATGTTTTTGGTACTCTGCAAGCTCTTTGAAAATCTGAGCGATAAAACATCAGCATAACAATTCAGACCTGTTTTCAGCAAGAACTCCTTTACAGTGCCAGTCTTCCCTGGCACTCTGCCAATAAAGACAACTGTTGTTGGCATAATAGTTCACATGGTACAAACAGACCTTCCATTACTAACCCCCAGTCACTATTCAGATGGTCTGTCAAGCCTGCTTTCTGCAGGCTCCACTGCACTGAAGTCACCTGCCAGGAGGCTCTTGCCTGTAAAAATGGTGCTTCCTCTTTCCAAAGGACCCAGAGAAGCTCCAGATCCCAGACAACGCCATGTTTCCCATTAAGAGCAATCAACTTCAGTCTGTCTCAATCATTGGCCTGTGTCAGGTCCTACATGCTTATTTCCAGCTGGCATGTAGGCATTGGCAATATCCTAGAGATGCAAAGAAAGCCAGTCCTAGCTGAACTCATTAGTACAGAATATTGAGGAAACCACTCGCTGCTACTCGTTGCGTATGAACGGGACTACACTTAAGAAGACATTGAACGCATGAAGCGTAACTTTGGCAACTTTGGCAAAAAAGAACGAGTTTAGGAACAAAATGAAAGAATGTTTGAGATGTCTGTTTCAGAGGTAACCAAGCCTTTTGTACAAAGTTCAAGATAACTGTGACAACAGATCTCACGCAGTGATGGAAAACATACCTGGTTTTTGAAACCCTGCTTCGCATGCTTGGTACTTGTTCTTCCATGTAACCTTCTTTGATGCTACAGGAAAGCATAAAACAACTTTGTCATTCAGTGGTTTGACCTGAGAAGACATCAGCCAGGCTCAACAGGAGGGATAAAAAGCTGGATGGGCAAAACCCAAGACTTTAATACTGGGATATCCCAATGCACACACAATACTAACAAGACTCGACTGGAAAGAGGAGGAAGAACAGAATTATGAGGGGTGCTGTGTGCCAGACACACATCATCTATCACGGCATGTGCCAGTGAGCTCTGTCTCTTGCCGCAGCGGAGATGAAGCAGAGGGATCTGAAGAGCTCTGCCAGCTTTAGGGAGGTGGGTAGCTCCCTAGTAGCATCCCCCAAAGGGCAACTGCCCTTCTTTTCTGCCCACCCATCCATCCTCCTTCCTCCTAACCATTTGCAGCGGACCTCAAGTCCTTGTTCATCTAACCCGGTCTCATTTCCTCAATATTTCACTGGGTTCAATATCTGTGTCAGTAAATCTCCTCCCACATCTTTTCGGCTTCAGCTTTCTCAGCTGGAACAGAAGTGCTGAGCTCAGTGCAGGCATCGGCTCTCTGAGGGATTCTGCCACAGTCTACCTGAAAACAGGAGATGAATAGGGAAAATACATGAGCTTGAAAAATAGCATAGAAATAAGTTTGTCACTAAGAATTTATTCACAGAGCCGGACAGGAAGTTACTTTCCATCCTGTGGTACACCAACCTGTTCCACATCAGAATGAAACCAGGAACTTCACAACTTTCAGGAAATGAATATCTATAATGTATATATTTATATATTTACACACACGCACACTATATATAATATGTATATATATTATTTATATATAAATGTAAGATACTATCTATATTTTTTCCACGGAAAATGTAAAATTACACATCATATCCACAAACACCTTATTTAGTCCAAAGCAGCCACTAGCTCAGTGATTAGAGTCCTCACCTGGGAGTCAGGTGACCTTGATATCACTTTGTCCCCAGTCTGAACATACCACAGGCAGAAGAATAGCCTAGCCACTGATTTACGGACGTAACGGAATGAAAGGGAAAATCTTCCCTTTCCTATATTTTTCTCTTGAACCTTTCCCAGCAAAACTCTTATTCAGACTGTTCTCCTGAAAAGGAAAACACTCCGCTCAAATAGCCTTCTCAACACACTTCCCCATACCTTTACAACCAAATCTAGTTATATTTCATTAGCCTCACTAGAAATTTGAAGAAGTTCAGTCCCCTTCAAACTAGACATTCAATCACAGTTTCCTGCATCATAGACGAGGGCTTTAATTACTGTGCTAGTGGCTATTTTGAAATAGATGAGATTTCTGGATGGAACGTGTCTGTACGTGTGATTTCCGCCGCCTATGCAAAGAACGTTCCTGTTTGACAACAGGCCGGCTGAGGACCATGCTATATATGGTTTGTTTGTCACAGCCTAGATTCAGCAGAAATCAATCCTGCTAGTTCAGTATGCACTGAAGTCTTCCACTCTGCTTTTTTAGGTACTTTGCAAAGAGGCAGCAGCCCACATTATAAGTACCACAAGTGTCACTGGATTGTTGCTGGGAACCACACACCCCTCTACATTGCATTTAACCACCGAAAAGCAGATTGTGTATATTCACACCGAATCTTGTGTGAATGCAGCTGATTCAGTTTCTTTCTGTTTGTTTAACCTAGGAACAGTTTCAGAAAGGCTGAAGTCATATGCAGTCAGGGGAACCTACAGTGGAGGAAAAAGGAGGGAATATGTTGCTATTGTAGTACAGAGAGGATTAACTCTACTCTTCCTGTTTTTGAAGGAATCCAAAGGACTGAATATCTGAGATCGTGAACTCTTACCTGGATATGCTATGTTCACATCACAAGTTACACCACAGGATCCACTGCAATCTTCCAGGCAGCACCTCCTGGCGTTACTATAGCCTGGACCTTGTTTAGGCTAGAGGAACACTGAACAGGCACATGTGGTCCGTCAACAGCTCATGCACGGTTCAGGCAGTGCAACTGTTTAAACTGCTTAATGTTCTCTCACATGGCTATCTCAAGCGTATGCCCTGCAATACCATTCATGTCTTCCTAGCATCATCATCCACCCAAGAGCTCCCTGATCCTATCCTGGCAGTCATTTCAAAAACTACCGCTTCAGCTGGCTAACATCAAAAGACAGTCAGCACTCACTTTCTCTCCTGGAAAGACTGGGATTGTTGTTTTTATGGTCTGATTTAGAGAACAGCAAAGATTAACCAGAGGAGATGTAGCCAGAGAGTATCATCATCACCCTATCATAATTACTCAGGAAATGCTGTTATCCTGCTGGTTCACTTACCAACAACCCACTTCTCCAGTGCAGGCATGCCTCCTGAATCTGGCAAGGATCCAAAAGCCATGCCAGCTTTCTTCTACGCAACACAACGTGGCAGAAAGCAATAGTGTGTAGGACTGCAATAGCAGCTGTATCTTAACTGCACGTTGCAGTGCAATTACTACAAAAGGTTGAAATATTTGCTCTTATAAAGCAAAACTAAATATTTCACAAATCAAGCCTGAATTTTTTCAGATGTATTTGCCATTCACACATATTATTCTGTAACTTGAATCACTAGTCTCCAGATTATAGATTATTAGCTGTCCCCCAGTGTTACACGCATTATGGGGTCAGCTCGCATGGATGACATACCCTGCAACCATCCCTGCTGCCTTTCCCATCACTCCTCCTCATTTTCTTTTGTCACCATCCTGTTTGAAAAGCCCACAGAGTGCCTTGTAGACAAAAGACTCATTTACCTCTTGTAAAAAGAGGTAACTACTTTCTCTACCACATCTGTTTGCCTTACCCCTAATAGCTCTACTCATCAGAAACAGGTTCCCTACCAAAAATGCCAAGGCAGCAATTAGCTGACATATTGAAAGAACGACAGTAGGAATAGAAAAGCATGGAGGAGATGGACTGAGAGACAAGCCTATACAACTTTATGGGTTGTAAAGGCTTAAGATCTGCCAGCCCACCAGATCATGCTGCTGACTGACAGATACTCTACTAATCAGCAGCTGGGATAAGAGTCATTCAGTGTAGCTTTGTTTCCTGCATTTTATTTGCCAGAGTAACCACATTTACATGGGTCAATAGTTACAACACCTATAATGTCTAGCACATAAACCATCATCTAACTGTCTGACTTGCTTATTACCATCTGTCACTCGAAGAGCTCTTACTTGAACTCTGCTGCTGTCGGTTCCTCATAAAGACTAATTTTTATAATTAGATTTTTAAATAGCATGAAAAAATAAGATTCATGCAGGATTTTTGGTTCAGTGATGGTACACAAGAGCTAGCTGTTTTAGCATATTAAACACAATCCATTTAATGACCAAAAACAAAGTTAAGACCAGAAAATCGTCTAGGATAACAGCTTTCAACAAAATGCTGATCACTTGTGCTATATTTGCATCTCAGTGCATCACAATCTATGTAATACTTGAAACCAAATATACAAACAAGATAAATAACAGCATGCACTTAAACATGCTTATAGAATTATGGGGCTTTGAAAAATGACATGGTATTCTGCTAGAAGCTATAAAAAATCCAAGCTGTTTGATACTGTGGGGGAAATATATTGGTTTTACATTTTATAATTTCAAACCCTGTTGTCAACAGGCAACTTATGTTACTTTATATTCCACTCATCGCAGCCCACCATAATTCCTCCTGGCATCACCAAGTAAAATATATCCCTCCGTGCTGACACTACTTATTGTTTTTTGTCTCCTATAAATGATTTGTGGCTATGTTTTGAATTTTGGTAACAGTATTTCCAGAAGCTTTTAAAAGAAACAGTACATTCAGCAGAGCAGACATACCAATATTTTAAGAAACAAGAGAAAACCTTTGGTTCTTTCTGTGTCCCTGCTGCAGTTTCCTCCTGCTCCTTCTTGCCAGAGCCCGCCTTGCCCCCCTTTTGTGTTTAGACTCATCAAGCAGTCATGGGATCTATTAAACTACTTGCTGCAGGCTATGCAAGCACGTTAATGCAGCTTACTTCAGCCCACGTGTCATATATTGAAATGAATCAAGAATTAATTTCCCTATTTCTGTATAATGAAGTATTGGTTAGCGCACCTATGACCCATTCGGGGGGAAAAGGAAATACCACAACCAGGGAAAACAGCCAGGAGAGTCAAAAGAGCTGACTCTTTCATCATGGTACCTCAAGCTAATTAAGAGAGTCCATTAGCAGGTTCTAGTCTTAATTATTTTCAAACTCCTTATTCAGTAAAATGTTCATCTTGAATTTCAGACCTAGCTTAGGTTTTGCACGGCTTGCAGTTAGAAGAAATGTCTTGTTACCTACCAACTAGGACCATGTGATTTGAGGCCCAGAATACCATTTTTTTCTCAGTGACTTTTGGGACTAAAGCACTTTTAAAATGCATTTTTGTGCCAGCACCATCATTTCCCAGCTTTTGCGCTTCCTACGATGGAACATAATCATAGCATTCATTGGGCACCGCCTGCAATAAAAAAGGCTTGTATATATTCTCTAAATTTTTCCATGTCAACATTTTGGGTCACAGCAAAAACAAAGTAAGCTTCTTCAGACCCATTAGTTTTAGTCCCCTTGATTTTACGGACAGTGAACAATTGGTTGATTTAAACCCCATTACTACTCATATAACCGGACGAATATTTATGGAACTAATTTTTCAGTGTTCACAGCAGGTTTCGCTGCTTAATTGAAATAAGAAAAAAAGCATTAGCCCCACAACTGACAAATTCGAGCAACTATTTTACCAACAACACTAGACACATTATCAGTGTCATGATCTTTGGCCTTTGATACTTTCAAGAGTTGTCCCTAGGGAAATCTTCTACAGGAATGTTAATCTGTTGCTTCTCTGACCTTCTACACATGTACCATATTATTATTACAACCCACATGCTTCCCTTTTCATGCTGTCATTCTGACAATGGAACCAATGGGCAATTCATCTCCAGACTAGATAGTTGGAACAAAGTGTGTCCCAGTAAATGCAATCAGATTTGAAATGGGTATTTTTTAAATTGCAGTAAGATCTCTTTGCTGCAAGAGGCCTGGATTTCTAATTATATGCCACGCTAGGTAATAAGCGGGTGGCTAATATACAACAATGGCTCAGAGATGATTCATGGAACGATCACAGTTCCTGCATTTCTTTCAAGCCTTTCACAGCTTACTCTTGAAGCATAAATTTCCCTCTGAACAGAGTCTGGGAAGATTTATTACCTGATTTTCTTTGTCCTCATCATAGCTCTTTCATTTACCAGATGTTTGTTTCATCTCCCAAATCGTCACAAACTTAGCAGGACTGCCATTGTCTCAATAGTGCTTAAAATAACATTAACAGTAATTAATAATAAGGTTTAGTACATGGATTATTAGAAAGAAAGGCTAGCTGAGGATCAGAGGCTGCTGGTGCTTCACACTTAGAGTGAACAACATGCTCATCAGAGCTGCCCTCATGATGACTCCATATACAGAACTACGCATTTCCCCTTTCAAAGGGGGTGGCTAAGTGAAAAGTATGGCTTGCCCTTCAT